ATTGATTTTGCTTCTTATTATTTGTTTTCCATAATATGTCAATTGATCCAAGCAGCGCAGTTGGCAGGCACCTCACTTTGCAAAGTCCAAGACCTGGGTTCGAGCCCCAGGTCTGTGTATTCTTCATATTATTTTTCCCATCACTTTCCCATGCAGCATAAGCATTGAGGCGCACCATATGTTTCAAGATCCAAAAGTCCACGTGCCTAATGAATGCAGATCAATGGCTCCAGTGTAAAGAACATACCATACGCCAGTCAATGCATTACACCTGATTGGAAAAGTCAACGATTCACAACTAATTGGGCCAGAATTCCCAGGCCAACACCTCCATAATGGGACAGAAAACCCCCCCTGGTTCTATCTTTTCTAATTTTCTTTTATCTTTTATTATTTTTAATTATTTATTTGTTTATTTATTTTCTGATCTAATTAAGTATCCTTTTTTTTACAAAATATAAAAACATTCAAAAATCAGAAAAGACTAAAAAAATAATAAATATTTATATTATAATTATTTTCATAAATAAAAGCTTGTAATTATTTAGTTTTAATTAGGTTTTCAAATTTAATTCTTTTTAATAACAAGAATCCAAAAAAAAAGGTAGAATTAGGTTAATTGATAATTTATATATTTTTTTTAATTTTTCCTTTTTCTCACAATATTATTTATTTAGTATTTTATTTTTATAATTAAATTGTACATAAATAAATTAGGGTTTAATGTAGATTATATTTTAATTCTTTCATAATAAATAAAAATATTAGAATTAGGGTTTGCCTTTTGATTTAATTTCAATTAACTCCTTTTTCTCATTAAATCTAAAAAACACAAAAATACCATTTTCATTTAATTTTTAATTTTAATTCTCATTAACTTTAAATATTTTGCAAAAGGGTCCAACGCCCATTGTTTTAATTATTTTCTTTCGCGCATTTACTTTATTGCTTATTATAATTTTGTATCTCTCCCAAAGCATTGTAATTTAAATTTCTCGCACTTTTATTTTATTGCTTTATTTATTTTCCGCTAAATCGGGTCCGGTTTAATTTTGGCGATGTGGACCCGCGCCTTTGTAATAGTCGTAGATTTATTTTTCCTTGCAAATATTTAACTGTTAAAAAGCATGCAAGAATGAATGTCTTAATTAAAATCAAGCGTAGATCACAACAAACATGACAAGACAAATATCAATGAAAACGACACACAATTCGCACACACCACCCCTAGGGTACGCCTCATTGTTGCCTTTCGAAAGGTGGTCGTCGAGTAGAGGACGTCTTAGTAAGTCCTCATGATCCGGGAACCTGGCATGAGGGTAGCTTCTAAGGTGTCTTCCCATTGCTCCGGTGATCACCATGTCCCTAAAACTCGAATTGACTCGAACACCTCCAACGGTGGTGCTACCTACCTCTCAATGGTGGGATGGCATTACTTTAAAGGACATTTACACAGACGAATTCCTTAGGGTAGGTAGGTTCTCAAGGATACTTGCTCTAATCTCAAAACAAACTCAAAAACATCTTTTCACACCAACACATTTTCAAAAGCTTTCAAAACAAACTTTTCAAACACTCTGACGTACGAGTCGATCTGAAATTTTTCAAAGAAACTTTTTTAAAACCCACATTGAAAAGCAAACAAACAATTTTGAAAACACATTGAGCAAGTATCTAAGAGCCCATGGATAACCATGGATAGAAAGGGTGCTAACACCTTCCCTTTCTATAACCTACCTCCCGAACCGAGAGCAATCTCTTTAAGGAATTTTTCTGTGCTTTTGTCCTTTCCTATTGGAGAAAATAAAAGACGGTGGCGACTCTTGCTTCCGCGACATTTCGCGAACCAGCGTTAAACAGTCAGTTCCAGATCCACCGATCACAGTATCCAATACCTACCACGAATATGTATCTATATCTTTCTTACGTATCTGATACCGACCACGGATATGTATCTTTTCTATCTCTTTCTTACGTATCTGATACCGACCACGGATATGTATCTTTGATATCTCTTTCGTACGTATCCGATACCGACCACAGATATGTATTTTTGATATCTCTTTCTTACATATCTAATACCGACCACGGATATGTATCTTTGATATCTCTTTGTGCGTATCTGATACCGACCACGGATATGTATTTTTTGACATCTCTTTCTTATGTATCCGATACCGACCACAAATATGTATCTTTTCTATCTCTTTTGTGCATATCCGATACCGACCATGGATATGTATCTTTTCTATCTCTTTTGTGCGTATTCGATACCGACCACGAATATGTATCTTTTCTATCTCTTTTAGGCATATCCGATACCGACCACGGATATGTATCTTTTCTATCTCCTTTTTACGTATCTGATACCGACCCCGGATATGTGTCTCTGATACCTTTTTTTCATATGGCTGCTACAGACTTCAGGCATATATCTTTTGATATCTTTCTTACAGGTGTTTGTTACTAAATCCCAACAGATGTTCCTTGATAACCAAGTTATTCTGTTGTGTGTCAAGCCCTGGTTAAACATACATCTAACCTGATAACCTCTTTTACCTAGCAAAAAAATAATAATAAAAACAGAAAATACAGAAAACCAAAGATATAATAATACATGACTGGCTTTGGAGCTCAAATTTTCGGGTTCTTTTAGTATTTGATCTTCTTCCACCCTGAAAGTTCGAAAGGTTGATGCCAATCTCACCTTCAGGTTGAAGGCGATTAAATAGGGGCAGCTGTTGCACCCCAAAATTTTCCCTCCTAATTGCACTTTTATGGCTTAGACTTTTTACATTCATCTGCATCATTCCAATGGGTCATTCGCATAGCACGCATTTTTCATAAAATAGATTGCCTGAGGCTCAAAAGATCATCAGTTAGGAAGCTAGGGTTTACAGCTGATTTAAGGTGTATATGTTGGATAAGTTTGATTATCCAGGGTCTTCTCCGTGTACAAAGTTTTGGAATTAAGGTTTTGGTTCAGGCTCATTTTTTGGACTTCTTCTCCAACAAGTTACAGGGCTAATATCTTCTGATGAACAACTGGTTGTTGGTCATTCTGGTCAAGAACTCCAGGACGTGACCTAGCATATGTGGGCTCCAAATCATGGCGTCTCTTCCTATAAGTATGCCTATCATTTGATTAGGATTAATGATTGTAACATGACATTCATCTACTCCTCAGTTAATCAATTTAGGTTTTGTTGAATCATGGTTCAAAGATGTTTTATCCGGATATTTCTCTGTGCGTCTAAATGGGGAATCAAGATTGTAAGGTGTGGTTAACAGGATTTCTTTCTCTTCAAGATATAATTTCTTTTTTCGAGTCTTGGCAAGTGCTGAGGTTTTCATTTATGCGACTAGGGTTTCACATCAAGGGAATTCTTCTTTGATTCAGACTTTATCATCCATCTGTAAGATGTTCCTTATGACACTAATTTCAAGTTGAAATAACCGATCGCTAAGGGTTGGGGATTGAATTGTGAAGCGTGGTTCATGACCTAAGATATGAATTCATAGATTTCTCCTTAACCAAGGCAATCATTGTCCTCATCATTGTCATTTCTTATCTGCGATGCGAGTAGGTTTGGATTGAAGTAGGTTTCTCATGGAAGAATTCATGCAAGGTAATTCAAGGTTCAAGGCATTCAAGGAAGGGTTTTGTTCAACATGGCATACCTAGTTGATGGGCTTACAAGCTCTTATGAGACCTTGAGATGCATAATCATGGGCCAATTTCAAAGATATGTGGATAAGATCTGTTGACTTCGGTTAAAGTAAGCTTTGAAAAATTAACTTTGGGACCAAGGTCTCCCTTAAATTTTCATCTAATATGTGTTGGGCATTCGAGTTGCATTTGAAGAATGGTATGGTAAAGGAAAAGAAATAATTGTTCAGAAAAGGAAAATTTCATTAAAAATCAGGGTTTCTATTCATTGATAAAAGTTCAAGTAATTGAATATCAGGGGAAATAAGGTTTCATATTAATCTTGATCATATTCTTTCATTATCATTTACATCCATCTTTGATGATTTAAGGTCGTCAATTAGGTAAGGACTTTGTCAAGATAAGAGACTTGTGGATTGAATCGTGGAATATGAGGCATGATACAAAAGGCAAGGTTGTGAATTTTTTAGGATCAAAATCTTATTGACTATTCAAATTATTTGTCATTCAAGTTGATTTGGATTCAAGATTGAAGTTAAGAGTTCATTGAGAATGCAAGTGTGATTTGGATTTGAAGTTTGATTTTAGTTCAAGATGTTCGAAAGTGTTTGATTGGATTAAAGTTTGCAAAGAGCCTTAAGTATTGGTCATATGAGTTTCTTGGAAGGTAAAGTACAGACTGCGAAGTCTTGTTTCAAGTCGGAGTTCATCCGCATTACAAAGATGTTCATGATTATTCTAGATTCAAGTTCACATGTGTTCAAAGTTTATTCAAACCCTTTCATTCATGGTTCAAGAAAATGCTATCCAATTCCATTCAATTTCATTCAAGTGTAACAATACCTTACAAGAAAATTTGATGCTTTTATGTCTTCAAGCATTTTTTCAAGACTTTGTCATTTAAACTCCGCCCTTAAAATTCATCACCCGACATTTCAAGCTCAAAGGTCATTTACAATTCACACTATAAATTTCAAGTTCATCTAAACCAAACATTCATTATAAAATCATTATAATCCCATTACACCAATATTCTACAAAGAAAAAAAACTGTTACAAAATACACTTGAACAAAATTCTTTAGTCCTAAAGGTGCTAAAATTCCATGAGTAAACTTCCAATTCCATGCCATGCCAAAGTTCGCCATCGTCATGTATTCTTCAATCCTCATGCCCCGAGCGAACCGACTTGTTGCATTCTTCAAACAATCATTACCATCCATATCAACCAGCGTTAATGCATTTCCAGCTCACCACTATGCTGCTATGTCAGATCAAACTAACCTAAATGATTGAACTTCAGTTTCTAGACAAGATATTCAAGAAAAAATATGCTTGGTTCAGTTGCTCCTGGTATTAATAGCGGGATAAATATGGAGAACTTGCAGCAAATAAATTCTGAGCAAAAAGATATACCAATGGAAGATTTTCACGCGAGGCAAGAACTGGCTGGATCTTCCGAGACTTCACAAGACAAGTTGATAGTGCAGGCTCCTCCACATAAGGAATTCTGCTTTAAATATGATGGATGGTTCATATAGTTTTAGTGGATTTCCTTCTCTTCAGAGTGGGAGTTGGAGTGCACTGATGCAGTCTGCTGTAGCTGAAACTACTAGTAGTGAAGTGGGTATACAAGAGGAACGGAGTGGTCTAAGTTCTCGGAATACTGAACGGTCATTTCCAAAAGAAGGACCTTCACCCATTGATAGCAACAAACAACAATCAGTTTGGCCTGATAATAATTTGCAGTCATCCCCCAATATAAACTCAAGGCCTTTAATTCGTCAAGATGAACTTAGCAGGCCCAGTTCTACTGTAAACTTTTCTGTTCTTCCTGGATTTCATCAGCCAGGTGCTGATACTGCACAAGAATCAAATGCAACCAGTTCAGCCCTGTATCAATTAACAAAATTGCCTTAGAAAAAGAAACCAAAATAATTAAGTAAATAACTTTCAATTTCATTCAAATCTAAGGTCAGCCCATCTAGTATAACTAATTGTTATCAAAGATCTCACTGGTAGTTACCAACAGAAAACAATTTACTAACTAATTCCATAACAGTTCAACAGATTCATAACAAACCTCCCTAACCAATTCCAATAGCTAACTTTCTCATAAAAGAATTTTCTAACTGCATCCAAAACAGAATTCTCCTAACCACCTAACAGATCCAAAACAGAATTCTCCTAACCACCTAACAGATTCATAACTTCCTCTAACCAACCTCCCAACAGATTATAACAGAATATAACAGATTTAGAGTGGGGGGAATTCACGATTTTTTCCTTCAATATACAGAAGAGATCCAAAAAAAATCACAGAGAAAAAAAGTATTTGAATCAGGAACAACCTCTAAGTTATTCTGTGAAAATTCTTCTGCTCTTCATCTTCATTCTCCTCGTAACCCCTTCATCTATGTTATCATCTTCTTCAATCTTCAAAAACCTCCTCTCCAAAACTGATTCTTTCAATTGCTTCAATCTGCAAATCACATAACATTCCATCATCTTCCACAAAATTCTATTGTACCTTTCATCATCATCTTTATTCTTCAACGCTTAATCACCCAAAATTGAATCCAAGCCTTTTCTCCTGAATCTGCATTACCACGAATTTCAGTTCATATCATCGCGTGCACACGAGAATTGTGGCAGAAACGCAAAAGAACAGAAAAACTTGGAGAAGAAGAGGAAAGAATGGAGAGTAAGAAAAATGAACATACCTGGAGAAAAACATATAGACTCAATTTATCTTCGGCCCGCTAGAAGTACAGTCAGAACAATTCAAATACGACTTACTTCAATTCCGAGTTGGCTCGTAATACTGAATCCATTTTCGGATTCTTCTCTCGGTGATTTCGTTTCTAATTTGTTTGATATTATTGCCCATGTGTTCAAATCATATGAAGAAGATGAGGCAATCAGAGGTTCGAAACATAATAAAGGAGACGATGAATAGCATCTTCCAAAGGGTGCTTTCACGGGGGAAGCTGACGATGGTGAGGGCGGAGGTCATTCGTGTCTGAGTTCGAAAGTGAAGAGGAAGTCGTCTTCGTGAATTCCAAGCGTTTGTTGAAGCTTTTGGGTTTGGATTTGTGATATGTGGTTATGAGGGATGAGCGATAGCCACAGTGGCAAAATCGAAAGGCGGAAGAAGATGAAGTCGAACAAGAAATGGCCAAGCATAGGCCAGTATGCTACTATGTTATGAATAATGGATATGTAGAAGAGAAAATGCGTTCTTCGAGCGTCCCACTAAGGCGATGAGGAATCAGCTCAAACCCTTGTTCATAAGGGAAAAAATAGGGGAGACGACCATCAACAAAGTCTTTGTTGATTGTAGGGCCATAGTTAACATAATCCCTCAATTTATGTTGAGAAAGCTGAGTAAGGGAGATGAAGACATTAAGCCCCATAATATGGTTTTATCAAACTATGAAGGTGGACTTGGGACCACCATGGGAGTAATCAATCGGACCTCAAAGTGGGGACCATAGTTCGACCAACAATGTTTACGGTCATCTCAGCAAAACCCAATTATAATTTTCTCTTAGGAAGGGAGTGGATCCATGGCATAGGAGCAGTGCCATTGTCGATACATCAGTGTGTTACAATCTGGCACCCAGATGGCATAGTAGAAAACATTGAAGCTGACTAGAGTTATTATATTGTCTAAGTCAAAAATGTTGACAAAACAAGCTTCGACAAAAATTTGGCCCACATAAGGCCATGTAATCCTCCAGACTTCTACTTGGCGTCATCACCCAATGCTTTCTGCTCCCTATACCTAAACTCAGATCATGGATTACAATGGGATAGGGTGGATTTGTCAAACATTGATTTCGGAGGGATTGATGATATACTACCAACAGGCTTGGAAAGTGATTTCAGTGACCATGACTGAGTCACAAGCATTACAGAGGATTTCAGCATATGTGGCTGAAAATAGAATGATAGCGGCCTTAGAGGCTGAAGTGAAGTATATGGCTGTCAAAGCCAATGAGCAAGTGCCACATCCAAAAGGCCTTGGGAAAGATTTCGACCCAAAACCACCTGACTCAAGAGAGGATGAAGTTCAAGGCCATAAGCTAGATGCCATCTACGATGATGAGCCTTTGGGTTTCGAGAAGGATCCACTGGCAAGAAATATTAAAATGCTAGTGCAAGATCCTCTTGAAGAGATAGACTTGGGAGAAGGAATGGTGAAGAGACCAACATATATCAGTGCAAAGATAGATCCAGAGCTTAGATTCAAAGTAATCCAATTGCTGAAGGAGTTTAAAGATTGCTTTGCATGGGATTATAACAAAATGCCTGGTCTTGACAGAGGATCGGTGGAGCTTCAACTACCAATAAATCCTGGGAAAAGCCTATCAAGCAAACTCCAAGGCGTTTTGCACCAGATATCTTGTCAAAGATCAGGACAAAAGTCGAAAGACTGCTGAAATGCAAGTTCATCCGAACAACCAGGTATGTCGAATGGATTGCAAATATAGTACATGTTATAAAGAAAATGGTACATTAAGGGTGTGCATTGAGTTTAAAGATCTAAATGTTGCAACACCCAAGGATGAATATCCAATGCCTATGGCAGAAATGCTTGTTGATTCTACCGCTGGCTTGGAGTACATAAGTATGCTTGATGGATACTCTGGGTATAATTAGATTTTCATTGCTGAAGAAGATGTGTCAAAAACAACATTTCGATGCTCTAGGGCTTTACGCACTTACGAATGGGTAGTAATTCCTTTTTGCCTAAAAAATGCAGGGGCAACATATCAAAGAGCAATGAATTCTATGGTCCCCACTTTGAGGTCCAATTGGATTACTCCCATGGTGGTCCCAATTCCACCTTTATAGTTTGATAAAACCATGTTATGGGGCTTGATGTCTTCATCTCCCTTACCCATCTTTCTCAGCATACATTGAAGGATTATGTTAATTGTGGCCCCACAATCAACCAAGACTTTATTGATGGTCGCCTCCCCTATTTTTGCCCTTATGAACAAGGGTTTGAGGTGATTCCTCATTGCCTCAATGGGACGCTCGAAGAAGGAATTTTGCTCTTCTACACATCCATTGTTCATAACATAGTAGCATACTGGCCTATGTTTGGCCATTTCTTGTTCGACCTCCCACTCGGTCTCTTCGACTTTGACCTGTTAGTCGTATTCTCTAGGAAGCACAAACACCACATTTACCATGATGTCTAATGTAACATCAAACTCAGAATCAGATTCTTCCTCTGATTCATGTTGTTCAGGTTATACCAGCCTTCTAGCAATTGGCTTTTTCTCCAAAGGCATTCTTGTTTTAGAGTTTTCTTTTATTTCCGGCATGTTAGTGCTTGTTTCTGGTTGGGGCTTTTCTGCAGCCTCTCTTTCGGCCGTTCGCCGCCTCTGATACCTTCTCCATTGGGAGCGGGTCATAGGGTTCTTTCCTTTCTAATTGTTCGACACGTGAGCAACCATATTTGTTGTTGTTGACTGAAATTCCTTTTTGTAGGCCAAAGAGGATCCTCTTGGCATATCGAACATCTGCCATTTTCCCTCGTTGGGCCTTTTTCTATTTGTTGCCTTCAACCAAGTGTCCACAGGGGCATTTGTTGGAGGCTTGAAGGTTGATGGCCTACTCATCTGGTTTACTGGCCTCTTTTGGTATCCCCTTATAGGGTCGTACCTTACTTCAGGATCCATGTTAGGCTGGGCAATGTTGCCCCATTTTTTCTTTGCTACACGCACACCTCGTATGTGCTTGTTTACCGTGGAAATTTGTAAACAACCTCCGATCTTCCAAAAAGGGTTATTTTTGTGACTTGCAGGATCGATCAGATTGATCCTAGGACATATGCTGAGTTTTTTTATATAAGCAAGTGAGTTTAAGTGAAATGGGTTGAAAAATGCTAAAAAGTGCAAGTAACAGGCAGAATAAAGTAAATTTGCAGTAATGATAAAGCTTGCGCAGGGATGTAAATGGAAAGGAATGTAAAGGAATTGTAAATACTTTGATTGAAATAAAAGATCGTGTTTCAAACGTACATTCTCAATATCTTTTCTCTCACAGCGGGTACTCGGATATGATTGAGTGACTTGTACTAATAAGTTGAACACACGGAAATCTACATGAAATCCCTATATTTATACTAAAACTAAGTAATCGTTGAGCAGTTGCCTCGTTCCAGGATGAGCACAAGTTTCCTCTGCATATGCTTCAACTTCTATCTTCATTCCACGTTACTTTCCTCAACTTCCAAGTGAACTTCCTTTCCCTCCTTTCTTCAGATTCAAAATTCACTTGCTTGCTGATACAAGGATCTTTCAGTCGAAGACCGCATGATCCTCTCGGTCGAAGACTACAATAACTTCTTGGTCGAAGACCAACTTTAACTTAGATAATTCTATAAGTGTTTTGGGCTCTTCTGGTCGAAATGTTGACAACTTTAGATTTCTTCAATCTACTTTTAGCCAATAAGACCAATATATTGTGGGTGTCAAATTTAGGAGCTAACAAATTGTCCCCCAAGAATGTCAGTTTTGACGCAAGAAGAAATTGTCATTCTTTGATATATCTATTCGACACCTGTAAGCTTTTTTACCACAAAAGCTTATCATATACTTTTTATCTTCCACCAACCCCTACTGGTATCAATGTTATCATTACATATTTCCAAGACGTCACCATCAGCCAGCCGTTACACGCTGCCATGATGTCCATTATTCCTACAACCTAGGAAAGCGTGGCAAACGTCTCCATTACTTGTCTGTATAATTGAATTAGATCTCACCACGTTCCCACTCACTCTGCAGCATTAAATGGTGTTGAGGAAAAACACTCTTCCTTGGCCACTATAAATAGCTATGAGCACTTCTCTTTGAAATTTTTTTACAAACGCTTAAAATTCCTTGTTTTCCTGTATTCAA